GTCATGCCATAACCCTGTCTTCATCCTGGCAGGATTTTGGGAACTCATGCATGCACACATGCATACATGCCTGGCATGTTTTTCAAAATGCAGGGGCAAGGATTCAAACCATGGTTGGTCATGTGGGCTCCTGTCTTCCAAACCACTATGGGTCTGGCTCAAAGCACATGTTTTTATAGTTAAAAAAGAATGTAAAAGAAACACATCTCCCCTAATTTAACAAGTTTATTAATTATCTTATGAATAAGTGGTTTTAAAAACATTATCAAATATCATCTATGACCTTCTCTAATAGCAACTTCGACATATACAGAAATACCTTTAAAAGAGGGCCAGAGGGTGCGTTGTGGTTAAAGGCGCTGGATTCCCACATTGCCAACCACGGTTCGAGTCCTGTACCTGGCAGCTTGCTTTCTCACTTTCCCTTTCTCTCTCTCTCTGCTCAAGTTAAAAAATCATAATAAAAAATGGAATTAAATAAATAATTAAATAATTAAAAAAAAAAAAAAACAGGAATACCTTTGGGAGATTTTTGACATGACGCTGGTAGATGAGCTCATAATGGGGAGGGTTGATAGCACTCTGATAAATGCAAAAAACGTTCTCATTTGTAACATCTGCGAAGGAAATACGTCACGTTAAAATATCAATCAACTAGATATCTCCTGTGGAAATCACAACCCATTTTTTCCAAGAGGTTTATACCTGGTTTATTTGGTGTCTGAACAAAGTGCTGAGAAGTGAATGTTTTTCCATCAGGGTACTTTGGATGTGGAGGTAATCTGGAGTCAAGGTAGGTGCAAAATACATGCATGATGATCTGAAGATGAGGAAACAATTTTTCAAAGTCAGTGTGAAAATATAGCGTGAACGTAACCTTTTAAAAATATTTGTATTTAGGGAACCAGCAGTTAGCGTAATGGCTATGTCCCTGGACTCCCACATAGTCGACCGCGGTTCGTGTCCTGGACCCAGTGGCTTAAAACTCATGCCGGGTGCGTGTGCGTGCGTGCCCAAGATCCCGAGAGGAGAATGGAGGAGAAGGGATTGCGGCGTGACCAGCCCCCCTGGGGGGTGATTTCTCGCTTTCTGTCTCTATGTCTCTCTCTGTCTGGCGAGCACACGCGCCCTACAGTGAAAATCTCTTAAAAAAAAAAAAAAATTTGTATTTACAATAACTTCAATTAAACATTTTTTCCCAGAAGAGAATTAGCAAAGATGTGAAATCACATGGTTATACTTAAGATGAAATTTAAAGAATGAAAAGATAAAAGCATATAATTAAGGTAACAAACCTACTCTTTCAGTCAAAAATATTATTTTCTGTAAAGATAAGGGATTCATTAATAGACTCTTTTCTTCTCTTAAATCATTAAGGAATTTGGTGTGTCCATGAGTTGAGCTAGGTGTGGGGCCAGCAGGTGGCATGGCGGTTAAGGGCACTGGACTCCCGCGTGGCCAATCGCAGTTTGAGTCCCAGATCTGGCGGCTTGCTTTCTCACCTCCTCTCTCTCTCTTGCTCTGTCCCTCTCTGGTCAAATTAAAAAACAAACAAATAAATAAAGTTAAATAAAATAATTCTTAAAGAAAAAAAGGTTAAGCTAGGCTTAATTCAAATCATGCATTCAGAATTTAAAAGAGAAAAATGTATTTTCCATCTAATCAGTCTATATTTTGATGGGAAGTTTTCTTTTAAAATTGAAAAAGAAAAAGTTAAAATATTCCAGCCTACTTAGCTACCAGTATATCAGGTGTGTAAATGGTGGAAAAGCAGGGGTGAGGTTAAATGCCAGGCTTCTATGCCCTAAATTCTTGATCTTCATGTTTGGTTTTTCATAGGAACCCTAGAAAAGCAGAATATTACTAGCTTTCTGTTAAGTGGATCATTCATACAGTTAATTAACCGTAAAGCCAAAAATATATATGAATGTTCAATTCTCAATTTGAACATCAACATTTGAAAAATTTCATTTTCTTTAAAGGCTTTTTGCGAAAGGGCACATGTGCTTGCAGGAGAGAGACAGAGGGAGGAAAAGTCAGAAATCATCCCCCGGGGAGATGGCCACAGTGTAATCCATTCTCTTTCATTTTCTTCTCTGGATTTTGAGCATGCATGCATACACCCATGCCTGGCTTATTTTTCTAGTGTCCAGGTCCCGAACATGAACCACACAGTCGGCTATGTGGGATCCAGTGCCTTAACCACCACACCACCTCCTTGCCAGAAACTTTATTTTCACAAGTAATGGTTAATATAAAAAGAAAAAGTAGGAGCCAGCTGCTGACGTGGGGTTTAAGGAGGCTGGATCCCCCACAGCTAACTCTGGACCCAGCAGCTTCAAAAATCACACTGGGTGTGTGTGCATGCATGCCCAAAATCCCAAGAGGAGAAAGGAGGAGAATGGACTGTGGTGTGGCCATACCCTCTTAGGGGGTGACTTCTCAGTTTCCCTATCTCTGCCTCTTTCCAGGTAGTGAACATGCCCTGTTGGAAAAACCTTAAAAAAAAAAAATTGCTTGCCATAATATTTTAGAAAAACAAATTAAGGGACCAGCAGTTAGCATAATGGCTATGTCACTGGACTCCCATGTAGTCAACCACGGTTTGCGTCGCGGACCTGGTGGCTTAAAACTCACTCCAGGCACATGTGCGTGCATGCCCAAGATCCCGAGAGGAGAATGGAGGAGAAGGGATTGTGGCGTGGCCATCCCCCCTGGGGGGTGATTTCTCACTTTCTGTCTCTCTGTCTGTAGGGCGAGCGCACGCGCCCTATAGCAAAAAAAAAAAAGAAAAACAAATTATAAAACTCCCTTCCCCACTACAAGTTTCCCAAGTTTTTAGGTCCAACATAAGAGAACATGAAATGACAAGGTGTAATAATGAAACAATACTCATGCATGGTAAAGGTGAAAAAGAGTAGGACATATAATTTTACATACAGGATACTTACGAATGATAAAAACATTAAAAAACAGAGGGGACTATCAGGGGTGCAATGTTTATGTTGCTGGACTCCCATGTAGTTAACCATGATTTGAGTCCCAGACTGGAGAGTTTAAAACTCACTCCGGGAGGGGCCTGCAGGTGATGTGGAGGTTCAGGCACTGGACTCTCACATGGTTGACCAAGATTCAAGTCCTGAACTTGATGGCGTGCTTTTTCACTCCCCCTCCCCCAGCATCTCTCTCTGGTCAAATTGAAAAATGATAATAATAAATAAAATAAAATAAATCTTAAAACAAAAAAACAAAACAAAACAAAACTCATGACGGGCATGTGTCCTTGCATGCCCAAAATCCTAAGAGAAGAATGGACTGTGATGTGGGCATTTCCCCGGGGGATAATTTCTCACCTTTTCTCACTTCAGGGAGCACACATGCCCTATAGCAAAAATCTTTTTTAAAGAATTACTTTACTTAACTTCATTTATTTATTTATTTTTATTTGACCAGAGAGGGACAGAGAGAGAGAGGGAAAGTGAGAAAGCAAGCTGCTAGGGTGGGACCTGAACCTTGTCAGCCTTATGGGAGTCCAGTATCCCTAACCACCATGCCAATGGCCCCTGAAAAAATCTCTCTTTTTTTTTTTTTTCTGGAGAATTTTTTGCTATAGGGCATGTGCGCTCACCAGACAGACAGAGACAGAGAGACAGAAAGCAAGAAATCACCCCCCGGGGGGATAGCCACGCCACAATCCCTTCTCTTCTCGGGATCTTGGTCACGCACACACATGTGCCTGGTGTGAGTTTAAGCTACTGGGTCCGGGACTTGAACCATGGTTGACTACATGGGAGTCCAGTGACATAGCCATGATGCCATCTGTTGGTCCCAAAAATCTCTCTTTCACTTTCTCTTTCTCTCTGTGTCTTTCCCTGGTCAAATTAAAATAAATGAGTAAATAAAATTAAATTTAAAAGAAAGAAAATATATTTAAAAAAAAAAAAAAAGGGTCCAGCAGTTAGCATAATGGCTATGTTGCTGGACTCCCATGTAGCTGACCGCAGTTCA